GATATGAAGTCTATGAAGCACTACGAGATCTTCTCTTGTTACTTTTCGATTTCTTTGAGTCAGATAAATATTCAGTTTCTCAAAACGCCACTTTGAAAGCCCCATTCTAGGTGCGAATATTAACTTCGATGAGCGAAACGACGCAACAGAAAAACGCAAAGCAGTCGAAATAAATTCTGAAATAACATAGTTCATATTGAAGACGTCTACGTGTATACTATGATTTAATATAACTCCTTTAAAAAAAAATGAAAGAAACATTTGACAGTTGGTCGTCAACGTTCTTTTAGTTCGTCACTCTCGACTGGTGGATGTTGCATATTACGCCCAAAAGTAAATGTAGTTTTGATCTTGTCATTCGTTAATAACTTCGAACGGGATTAGATACTTTTGACAAAACACGACTATACTCTCGATGTGCTGATTGTGTGTTAACTCTTCGTTTAAAAGCTGAAAAATGACATTTAACAGATATGAAACGATACAATACATTTGTCACATATTCTAATGAAAATAGACAGTATGAATAATAGTACCACAAATATACTATCTACATCTGTATCAACAACTACATCGACAGAATCATACCTCCCCAATCAACTACATAACATTTGCCAAAGGAACTCACTTCACCCTCAAATAATTTACACTTGATTATCATCACAAAAATAACGAGAATGCATGACCACTTTCTTTTTTTCATCAAAGATCTAGCCCTTCAAATCTATACTAAAGTTTTCATAAATGTCAGACTCATTTTACAATCAACTGTTGGTATCCCTCCTGTTCGTCACTCTTGGACTACGCCAACGTTTCATATCATATGTATAAATCAACGTGACATCTGTGCTTCTTATTTCATTGATTTTCTAGAGTCTGTCGAACATTCTGTGAAAGACAAACTTTGACATCCGCATATACAGGATGCTCTAGAAGTCTGAACGGAAAGTTAATTCAAATATCTCTTGTACAACTCAAATAATCTAATTGACTTTTTTTATAATATGTTAGTATGGTGCTTAAAGTTTTATTTCGTATATTTTCAGATAAATGTCGGTGCCTATAAACATTAGAATTAAAATAGTTCTATTAAGGGCCAAATTTGACTCGCCTGTAGTTGTCCTACGGTAACTACAAGCCGAATTTGATACAAAAATATCAACTGAATCTCGTATTCTGAAGGCATCTGAACCCTTCTACGAAATTGTTACAGTGGAAGATAAAGAATGTTCTGGAAGATCGTCAGAAACTACAGAAGAAAGAAATCGATGAATTTCATGATTTCCCTCAAGATGAACCACAATCAAATTTTCAAACTGTTGCAATAGCCTGTTCTGTTTCACGAACAGCAGCACACTGAATTATGCCCGAATATCGTTCATTAAAACTGTTCAAGGTGCAATTTGTACAAGAACTGTATGAAGAAGACTTACGGAATAGAGTTGAAATGTGTCAAACATTAATACCAATGTTAGAAAATGATGTTCAAGGAAATTTAATTTTTCTGACGATGGTTCTGTTAATGCAGAAAATTATCGATCGATGTTGCAATCTTTCTTTATAGCAGAAGTGAAAAGGTTACGTGAGAGATATTCGATAATATTTCAACAAGACAGACTTCCTGTTCATTTTGCTACTGTCATACGAGAATTGTTAAACAAAAGTTTTCCAAACAGATGGATAGGTAGAGGTGGTTCGATTCGATGGGCTCCACGTTCACTGAACTTAACGCCTGTCTATTTCTTTTGATGGGGATATGTGAAGAACAACGTTTATAAAATATATGTCAAAAATATAGCTGAATTAAAGCAGAGAATTGAGAAAGAAACTTTGTGTAATGTTTTTTTCAAATATTGTAAAGAGAATGAATTTATGTATTTCGGTTGGCGGTGATCATTTTGAACATTTATTGTGAACTCTATTAGTTGAAATAAAACTTCAAGTAACATACTAACATATTATAAAAAATCAATTAGATTGTGTGAGTTGTACAACAGATATTTGAATTAAATTTCCGTTCAGACTTCTGGAACATCCTGTAATTAACTTTTTCTGAGAAAGAAATGCGATTTTTTTAGTTTTAATGCTAAATCAGTACCCCTAGTCACAACAATATAACATGCTAGATCATTTATGCACCTTCAACTATTGTGGTAAATATTCTGTTTTTGGTCTTTGTCAGTGAGTCTACCACATTTCAAATATATCATGAAATATCCGATTTTGCCGAATATTAAGATTGCTTCGGATAACAAAAGAAATCTCTTATCAGCCTCATTTCAATCCAGACAAAAATTTTATCTAGCCACCATCAAATATCACTTACCAGATTTTAATTTCAGCTCCATAGCGACGTATGTAATAACTAAGTAAGAAGATATTATATGATGACTTCCCTCTCTCTCTCGTTAAATGCATGATTTTTTAGATCTTCGCTAAAGGCTCCACTAAAGCAACAGTATAATATTCATATATTAGATGTCATTATTTTCTCTAGTGAGCAAAATTATCTAGTAGGTGAACGCAACAATCGAAATAATTTCCGACATATCATAATTCAATTAGATCGTATACCAATGGGTATATCACTCTTATCTAATAACTCCTACGTGACATCAACCATCCATAACGCTTTTCACCCAGAAGAATTCCTATTATTTATATTGTATATATTAGACATATTTAACCTTTTCTTTTATCTTATCCTTTTCTTTCTTTTCATCTTTCTACGCTTTCTGTTATGCGGTGAATATCATCTATCGACAGTAGCGATAGAGCTGCTCTTTCACTTCATCATTATGATCACAACAGAATACATGCTACAGCAATAATGAAATATTCTATCTAACTTTTTCGCTTCATATGCTCTCCGTGTAAATACAATGATGTGCTGTGACTTGTGTCTATAAGCTATTATTCAAAAGTATGCAAGCGACATCTCGCAGTCGGTCCTTAGGTCTAACGCTTTCGACTACCGGTGCTGCACACTAAACGCAAAAGTCGCGAAAAACTCAGATATTTGCCTTCACTCATAACTCTGACTGGTGATTCAGTTTTCTAACAGAAAGATATTTTTTACATTTTCAGCAACGGAGTTTCGCAATGCGTGGTACAGAACAATATCATCTACCCTTCAGATAAACTTATTTAACTAAACCATGTGACTAATACTATTATAAACAGGATATGTACATTTGCATTGATAACAACGCTATTACTTTCATACATTACATATCAACATTTTTATACAAAGTCATTCTCTAATTAAATCAGATTCTTCAATCTGAAAAACTTCGGGTTGAGGTTGTTTTTACGTTAAATAAAATATAGTTTAGCTTATGAAACTTTGCTGCAATCTGATTGGCTTGACTGGATAAAGTTAAATCTTCAATTTGTCGCCGTAAAATTCTTTCTTTCAGAAAAGGAAGTAGAGTAAAAATATCAACATATGTACGTTACCTGCAAGGATAACATTGATTGATCTCAAACAAAGTATTCGCTTTGATTACATAGATTAGATTTCAATTATGTTGCGATTTTTTTCATTTAATAAACCAACAATGTTATATCGTATAATCAAATTGAGAAAATTTTACTTCAATTCTTTTCGTTTGAAAAAGACAGTCGTTTAACTAATGTAACTATTTTCTAATAGATACATTTACTTTACATAACAG